ATTGCGAACTTCAAATACCAAATTTTAAACAATTCCGGTTAATAATGTCGCTAAAATCATCAAAATACCGAACATAGGGAGGCATCGTTACATGGGGGCTAAAAACGTAGAATTTTATGGTTTCAAATATTTTACAAATAATGAAGAAACAACCGGTATTATCGTCAATGACCATTGAAGAATAGGTAAAAAGGAGTGTTGTGGTAAATTACATTTTAGAACGTGACTCTGCTACAACGAGGAAGGTTTTGTGGAAGTTCGAGAGTTTTTTTTCTTAACGAATCGCCCTTAAAATAGCAACAAATAGGAATAATTCAGTCTGCCCAATCTCTAATTATTAAGGGCAATCCGGAATTGGTTTAGGCCCATATCTGCACAATAACTCTAGAAGGGAATATGTGATTTTGCCCTAAATTGGTAATAATATTTCGTAATATTATTGTCAAATTTATATTGAGTTCAAAAAGAGACCTCTTTTTCTGGAACTTTCCTGACCAAAGTTCCAAATTTGGAAGTTACAAACTTAGCTAAGCCAGGAATATATGCCCAGCTTTGGCCATTTATGTATGATTTTACCGACATATCCCATAATTATAATACAAAGACAAAAAAAAAAAAAACGGCAACAAATTCAAATGCCATAATTTTCACATTTTTTTTTTAATTTTATTGAACGAAAGCAAAAAAGGTCGGTAATAGCATCAAATTTTAGAATAAGTTTAGATTTGTCAGAATTGGTTACCTTTGGCACGAATTATGACCTTCAAACGACCAATGAAACCGTCACACGCTGCTAGAATTTTGCTCTGAAGTATTTTGGTCCATTCCCGGCGAAGCGCTTACTTGAGGTGATCGACATTTTGGCATTTTTAGTGCCAGTCTTGCTTTTGAAAATACTCCCGATACAATCGTCCAACCGATTGGTATCCCGAGATTTTGGTGGCCATTGTGCGCAGGAAATGAAGCGAGGAACCTCCTTTGGTAAAAATTCTTGGGTGATGGTGCTGAGACCTGTTGGAATGTCCGAGGTCTGCGGCGTGCCCAAGGCTTTAATACACCCTCCGGAATATTTTCGCGACAATATTCGGCATTCATTCTGATGCCACAACCGATTAGTACGAGCGGAGAGCGACCATCGGCTGTTATGGCGACCCCCACCATCACCATGGCCGGCGCTTGAGTTCTTATGGCCAACCGAAGATACACATTTTCAGCTGACCTTATTGTCAAGTAAACAGAATCATTTTGTTTGTTTACAAACTGCTGGACAACGAAAGTTTTCTCATCGGAGAAAACCAAATTCGGCAGTTCACCACTTTCGGCCAAGCGAACTAACTTTGTAGCTCATTTGGGTCTATTTTCTTTCTGTTGCGGTGTAAGTTCTTGCACTTTTTAGAATTTCAATGGCTTTACCCTGAGCTCTTTTTTCAACATTTGCCGAATGGAATATTGCGATATGTTCAGATCATGAGCCATTTTTCGGCCACTGCGACGCGGGTTTCGACCAAGGCGCTTCTTTATTTTTCGAACAATTTTTGCTGATGTTGCTGTTTTCTTCCGTCCACTTCCTTGTAACGAGCGATGGTACGAGACACAAAAGATTTATTCACATTGATTTCCTGGAGTGCTCTAACGATAGCCACTTGTGGTATTCCGGCAAAATTTAAAGAAATCACACTATCACGCCTGAATTCCATCACGAATAACTATTTTTCTTGAAAATTCTCACTAAAATAATTTTGTACGCTTGTAAACAATATAAGGAGCTGTCACTGGAATGATATTAACCAATGTTGGACGAGTGGCTTAGAAATGACAGCAGTCTGAATTTGGTTGAAGTTTTTGCATCTCACCCTGTATTTAAGATGATTTGTTAGATGTGAATCCTTGAACCCACTTTATGGTTTTTTGAAAAGTTTAATAGCATTATCCAAACGGTCTTACTGGTATTTTTATGCAGATACTTTTATATAAAAAAAAGTTTTCTTTACCCAAAGATGAAGGGTATTAATAGTTCGGCTCGGCCGAACTGAATGTTTTTTACTTTTTATACTCTACACCACAAGGTGGTCAGGGTATTATGTCTTTGTGCATTTGTTTGTAACAGGCAAAAGGAAACGAGATAGATCCATAGTTCCTTTTGATGATCTGCAGAGAATCACATTCTGAGTCGATTTAGGCATGTCCGTCCGTCTGACCGTATGTCCATGTATTTTTGTAAACAAAGTACAGTTCGCATTTATTGCCCGATCCAGATGAAATTTTACACAGATCATTTGTTTGGCCTAAGGGCGAACCCTAATCGGGGATAATCGGTCAAAATTTAGATATAGCTCCCATATTTATCTTCGTCCGATTTGCATTTTATTGTGCACCAAACGTGTAATATCAGCCCGAATAGTATGGAATTTTGCACATACAACCAAATTAGGCCTGAAAATAAGTGTGCCAAATTCGATCGAAATCGGTTCAGATATAGCTATAGCTCCCATATATATTGTTACTTTTGTCCTCCGCAGCCGTAATATGCACTCTGTAACAACAATATTTGGGGAAATATGGAAAATACAGCTCAGAAATACATTTGCAAAATTTTATCGAGATCGATTCAGATTTGGATATAGCTCCCATATATAACTTCGTCCGATTTAACTTTTATTGTGCACCAAACGTCTAATATTTGTTCAATTGGGATGGAATTTGGCACTTACAACGAATTGCGTGTAGAAGCTAGTATGTCAAAATTGGTGAAGATCGGTTCAGATATAGCTATCGCTCCCATATATATTGTTCATCCGAATTGTCATATTTGTTACCCACAACCGTAATATGCACTCCGTATTAACGATATTCAGGGAAATATATCAAATACAGCTCAGAAATATCTTTGTCAAATTTTATCGAGATCGGTTCTAATTTGGATGTAGCTCCCATATATATCTTTATCCGATTTCAAATTAATTTTGCACCAAATGGGCAATACAAGTCCGAATTTAAAAGATACAAATGCTTCGGCATATTTAGTCCTTTGAACTTTAAATTATAATTATAATCATAGCGTGTATGATTGAATTCTCCAATAAAAACTTTTTTTATGCGGAGCTCTACTAAATGAGCGAAATGGTGTAGGCTATCATAAAGTTGGCCCCGCCCGACTATAAGACTTTCTTTACTGGTTTCTCATGTCAAATGTCAAACAATTTAATTGTAATCAGCCATATTCTAACATAAATTTGTTCTCTTCCTGCACAAATTTCCAAAAAAATGTTTACTGTGCATTAGTATATTTTCCATAGAATTTCTGAGTTCTAGCTGATATATGCAGAAGAGATCGCCATAGCTATTGAGAGGGTAATGTAAGCACGAAAAACATTTTCTTCTTCGTTTTGTTTAACTTTCCTTTTTTTCTTGCCCAAAAAAGATTTGAAGTGGTATAAAAGGAATAAATGCGAGCATAACTCAACTCAAATGAAGTCTGTAGTCTGTAATTTTTTTTCGAAATAAACACTTTTTTGTATCAAAACATAATAACGATAAATATAAAAAATATACAATGGATTTTTACACGCTTTTAAGACAAGAATTCAAACAGCAATAAAAACAAAACAAAACAAAAAATATTATTTTATAATTAAATATTATTATTTGTATTCTTAAAATAAATTGTATTATCCAATATTTTTCTCTTCTTCCCTTTTTATGTCCATTAAATTTTAAAACATAACAAAATTCAAATACTTTCCTCAAATGACGCATGTATATCCCCGATGCCCTTGAAGCAAAACGCCCGCACACACACACACACAATTACCACTTTAATTATTATAATTTGTTGCAGTTATATTTACACACAAACACATTTTAATATTTTTACAACATTTTTCACTGTAATGCATAACAATTTGCTGTTAATTTTTTTTTTGTTTTTACATTTTATAATTAAAGAAAACATCTTTTCATCGTTTGCTGATATTTTAATTACTGTCACCATTCGGTTTGAAAATAATGAATAAATGATGGTTTTAATTGAAATTGCATGATGGCAAAAAATGAAAGGGAAATTAAAAATATGTAGCGTATTTTTTGTGTCATTATTCGATGATTGAATCGTGATGAATTTAATAATCGGATGGATAATGGACGATTTAATTGTCCTCAGAAAATGTGGTTATTAACTGTCATTTATAGCTGGATGTGGCTGAGAGGTAGTCATTGTTAAATCAGTGATGGCGATAATTGTCAAATTAAAAATAAATATCATTAAAATTGCAATTGTAATAATATTGAATAAAAATGAAAGAAATGAAGAAAATACTACATTGAAAACCGGTTGAAAAAATTAAATTACAGGAAAATGATGTTATTTATTTATAAAGTACTAGCTGAACTCGGTGCGCTTTGCTATCCCTTTTGATTTGCTATCCATTCAATATTAAAATACGAGATTGTTGGCTAAAAAAAAGACAAATTTAAAATTTTAAAAAACGTAATTGTTAAAATACTTTTATGCGTTCCATACCAGGAACAGCTAACCATGAGAAAAGCAGAAACATGTCAAATTTAGTCGGCATACATGAAGAGTTTGTCCTTCGAATTTATCAATTTCATAGTAAATGTCAAACATGCAGAAAACTGCAATCTTTTGAAGTTGAGTGGCATTTCTATTGCAGTTAGTGACTGCGAGGTAACAATATACTTCGCGTAATGATCGTATCCTCAATTACATTATTGTGTAGTTTTTTACTGTTAGCTTAATACCATTGCAAATCCATTGTGGGTCAATGCTTCTTAATAAATTCATATCCCAATCTGAACCCATTTCAATATAATTTGTCAAAATTTACATTTACACCAAATTCCGTCACACCTTCTATATTTCATTGCAATTGGAGGTACATACCGTGGTTGGTGCATGTGAAATCGGTCGAGATTATATATAGGAGCTATATCCAAATCTTAACCAATTTCTAATTAATTTGTCAAATTTATTATTGGAACCAAATAATAAAACATATAAACGGTTTATTTCTTGGACTTGATTTTCTTAAGATAGAATTCCAATTCTTTGCCTTCCAAAATGTAACCATCGGCACGACCGCATTGGCCGGGACGAGATGAGACACTGGCTAAGAGACGACCAGAAACGAATTGATCTTCCAAAGCTTGTTCAACCTTGGCGTACTTTTGACGTCCCAAGTACTTCTTCATAGTCTTTTCGTTGCGCTTCTTGGTGAGCACATCGTTGTCATCTTCCTTTTGTTGTTGCTTGGGGATACGTTTACGGCCCAAAGGCAAAATGTAGTGAGATTCATACCATTGACGGAAGGGGGTAGCGTCTATATGTATCTATCAATAGATATGTGCATATAAATCTTAAATTTTTGGGAGTTACCTCAGATTCTGATGCCATACCTCTAGTTCCAAATGAAATGTTAAAAACTTATATAACCTATTTTACTTTCAGGCGATGTAGTAGTATACAGATTGAGGTAAAAAAAACTGCAACAAAGTCAAACACCATAATTTTTAAATTTTTTTAATTATATTGAATGAAAGCAAAAAATATCGGAAAGAGCATCATATTTTAGAATAAGTTTAGATTTGCTTGAATTGGTCACCTTTTGCACGAATTATGGCCTTCAAACGGCCAATGAAACCGTCACGCGCTTCCCGAATGTTGCACTGTGGTATTTTGGCCCATTCCCCGGCGAAGCGCTTGCTTGAGGTGATCGGCACTTTTGTATTTTTAAGTGCCAACTTTGCCTCCCAAAATACTCCAGACACAATAGTCCAACGGATTGGTATCCGGAGATTTTTGTGGCCATTGTGCGCTGGAAATAAAGCGAGGATCCTCATTTTGTAACCATTCTTGGGTGGCGCGTGTTGAGACCTGTTGGAATGTCCAAGATCTGTGGCCAAAATGTTTGAGTGCCCAAGGCTTTTATTCACCCTCCATAATATTTTCGCAATAATATTCGTCATTTATTCTGATGCCACGGTGTGATTAATACGAGCGGAGAGCGACCATTAGCTGTTATGGGGGCCCATACCATTGGCATGACCGGCACATGAGTTCTGATGGCCGAACTAAGGTGCACATTTTCAGCTGACCTCTTTGGCAAGTAAACCCGATCATTTTGTTTGTTTTCAAACGGCTGGGCAACGAATGTTTTCTCATCAGAGAAAACCAAATTCGGCAGTTCACCACTTTCGGCCAAGCGAAGCAACTCTTTAGCTCTTCTGAGTTTATTTTCTTTCTGTTGCGGTGTAAGTTCTTGCATTTTTTGGAATTTCAATGGCTTTACCCCGAGCTCATTGCTCAATATTTTACGAATGGAATATTGCGATATGTTCAACTCATGGGCCATTTTCGGCCACTGCGACGCGGGTTTCGATCAAGTCGCTTCTTTACTTTTCGAACCATTTCTGCTGATGTTACTGTCTTCTGCCGTCCACTTCCTTGAAGTGGGGCTACGCTACCATTATCACGGTAACGAGCGATGGTACGAGACACAACGACTAACGACTTGTGGTTTTCCAGCCAAACATTAAGAAATTAAACTATCTGGCTTGAATTCCATCACGAATAACTTTTTTTCTGGAAAATTTTCACCAAAATGCTTTTGTACGCTTGTAAATAATATAATGAGCTTTAACTAGAAGAATTTAAACAGCTGTCGCACAAGTGGCTTAGAAATGACAGCAGTCTGAAGTTGGTTGCAGTTTTTTCATCTCACCTTTAGTATATTTACAAATTAATTTTGGAAAATCTACATATGAAAGAATATTTCCCCCATAGAAAGGTAGGCTGATATATCTAATTTTCTTGCTGATCATTCGCATTCTTAGAAATTATAACATAATTTAAAATGTTTACCCATTTTGCCTTTGACCTGACATAATTTGTGGACCTATGATTTCTATTTTTGCAAATGACTAAATTCGGTGAAAGAGGTCAATGTATGAGTAAACCATTTTTTTAAGCAACAATACAAAACGCCGTAGGTTGATAGCCATCAATCCTTTATCACATCAAATATTCCTCATTTGAACTTTGTTCTTTTTTTAATTATGCGTCATTGATATCTAGATGAAAGTTCAATGCTCTCGAGTGTTCAATCTCTAACAGCATGACATTCTCTATTTCAAATTATCATTAAAAACAGAGATTTTTAATCATAATTTTGTCTATCCATCTATAAAGTGTCAAAATCAAAACAAATGTCTATGGTTCATTCAACTCTGCGGCAGAATCAATCAATTGTGTTGCAGGTTTTGATGGAAGACATCATTAACAATATTTCCGATTAAAAACCAAACCACATTGTTGTCATAGATATTATGAACTTTTCATTGTAAGAAAATTTTTGCATGTATCACAATTCTTAAAATAATCAGGAAATGAGGGAAAATGCTTCGAGGTCTTCTATTGTCTATAGAATATCTTTCAGAAAACCAGATGCTTTCTGTTATTCATAAAAGGTCTTTTTTGGTACATTTGGTTGGCCATTGGAGGTCTTCTATACCCTACAGAAGACCTGGAGGTCTTCTATTGTCCATAGATGAGCTGGATGTCTTCTATTTTCTATAGGAGAAGCGGAGGTCTTCTATTGTCTCATAGAAGAGCTGGAGGTCTTCTATTGTCCCATAGAAGAGCTGGAGGTCTTCTATTGTCTCATAGAAGAGCTGGAGGTCTTCTATGGCCCCATATAAGAGCTGGAGGTCTTCTATTGCCCCATAGAAGAGCTGGAGGTCTTCTATTGTCCCATATGAGGAGATCTTCTATTATTCATAGAAGACTTGGAAGCCTTCTATTGTCCATAGAAGAGCTGGAGAGCTTCTATTCTCTATAGAAGCCAAGAAGGGCTTCTATTATCCATATAATTTTAGGAGAGCTTCTATTGTCCATAGAAGTTTAGGAGGGTTTCTATTGTTCATAGAAGCCTAGAGGGGGCTTATATTGTTCATAGAAGCCTATAGAAGAGCTGGAGCTCTTCTATTGTTCCATAGAAGAGCTGGAGCTCTTCTATTGCTCAATATAAGAACTGGAGCTCTTCTATTGTCCCATAGAAGAGCTGGAGCTCTTCTATTGTCCCATAGAAGAGCTGGAGCACTTCTATTGCTCAATAGAAGAGCTGGAGCACTTCTACTGCTCAATAAAAGAACTGGAGCTCTTCTATTGTCACATAGAAGAACTGGAGGTTTTCTATTGCCCATAGAAGAGCTGTAGGTCTTCTGTAGGTCTTCTATAGTCCCATAGAAGAGCTGGCGGTCTTCTATTGCCCCATAGAAGAACTGGAGCTCTTTTATTGTCCCAAAAAGAGCTGGAGCTCTTCTATTGTCCCATAGAAGAGCTGGAGCTCTTCTATTGCTCAATAGAAGAACTGGAGCTCTTCTATTGTTCCGTAGAAAAGCTGGAGCTCTTCTATTGCTCAATAGAAGAACTGGAGCTCTTCTATTGTCCCATAGAAGAACTGGAGTTTCTATTGCCTATAGAAGAGCTGTGGGTCCTTTATTGTCCATGGAAGAGCTGAAGGTCCTCTGTTGTCCATAGAAGAGCTGAAGGTCCTCTATAATTTATAGAAGACCAAGATTTCTTCCATTGTCCATAGAAGACCTAGTGGGCTCTTATTTGCTATAGAAGATCTGGAGGGCTTTTATTGGTCCTAGGCGACCTAGGGGGCTTCTATTGTCCAGAGAAGACCTAAGGGGCTTCTATTGTCCAGAGAAGACCTAGGAGGCTTCTTTGTCCAGAAAGACTTAGAGGGCTTATATTGTCCAGACAATAGGGTTTCTATTTGCTAAATAAGGCTTGTAGCGCTTATATTGGCTATATAAGACCTGTAGGGCTTCTATTGGCTATAGAAGACCTGCAGGGGTTCTAATGGCTATGGAAGACCTGTAGGGCTTCCATTGTCTATGGAAGACCTCTATGGCTTCAATTGGATATAGAAGACTTCTAGGGCTTATATTGGCTATAAAAAACATGTAGGGCTTATATTGTTTAGAAGCCGTGGAAGGCTTCTATTGTCAATTGAAGGCCTGGAAGGCTTCTATTGGCTATAGAAGACCTGTAGGGCTTCTATGGCTATATAGAACCTGTAGGGCTTCCATTGGCTATAGAAGACCTGTAGGGCTTCTATTGTCCATAGAAGACCCGGAGTGCTGCTATTGTCCATAGATGACCTTGAGGGCTTCCATTGCCCATAGACGACCTAGAGGTCTTATATTGCCCATAGACGACATGTGATGGTTTCTATTGGCTCTAGAAGACCTGAAGGGCTTACAATGGCTATATAAGCCCTTTAGGACTTATTTTGGCTGTATAAGACCTATAGGGCTTATATGGGCTGTACAAGACCTGTCTATTGACTTCTATTGTCTATTGAAGACTTACAAACAAAATGTCAAACATACCATACCCTCCGTTACATGCTTTCGTGTAGTTAAAAACATTCGAGCTTGATACTCTCATTACTTGTATAACTTTCTCTCATTTCCTTCATCCTTTTGTTTTTGGTTGTGAAAGAAGTATCACTTACTTTAAGGACTTAGTACAGCTTGTTGCGTAAACAAAAAAGGTAAATCTTAACAAAAGTATAACATCTAGTGAAAAAAGATATTTTCTCAACCTAATGAATAGTTAACGAGCAAAAATGGAAAAGACAAACAAACAACAAACAAGAAGTTGACAGGGAAAAGGAAAAAGAAAATTCGCAAGGAAAATCTCTTTTCCATAGAGGAGACCATTGTGGTTGCTTGCTGGCGCAGATGTCATATGATTGGCAAGTTGAGGTTAAATTCAATAAATGGAAACTCAATCAGAATTATTATCCTACTAATGGAAAATGATTTATGAATTCAAATTGATTATGAAACCGGACACAAATCGAATGCTAGGCCTGGAAATTACCAAGAAAAGGGGTTTTTTTTATTTCAGCTATTTTATGCAAAATAAAAATAAATAAATACCGGAAAATTTGCCATCACGTAATGAGGAAAAATTCTTGTTTGTTTTGAGAGCCTGCAATGAACGACACGAACAAAACATGAAGTAACAATACTTTCTCTCACTTTTTCGTAAAAGTGTCCCCCACCCATCCCAATTGGGTCGTTAAGTTTCTCACAAGTGAAATGCGGATTCCATGAAAGCCCATTTATACGAGGGATTATGAGCTGAGGAAAAAGAAGAAAAATATAAGAGGAGTATTGTCTTAACGTCTTTAATTACTTAAGAAACCCCTACTCAAGGTAAAAAAGGGATTGCTGCCGTCTTAGAATTGCGAAAGCCTTTAATGGGAAATTTCACGAAGACGAAGGCAAAATTTTGTGACATCTTTTATAAGCTTTACAATTAATAAGAAAATGGAGGGTTGCAGATTTCCATTGAATTATTAAACTATAAATAGC